CATAGATTTCTTGAGCGGACATTTATCAAAGTGTAATGTGATAACTTGTTTAGCATATAAGGAATCACATATCCTATCTTAGTAATACACCTATCTCCATTGGATTCCTAGTGCACCCAATGAATCGCCCACGTGCAACCCGTTAATGGGTCCATCGAAATGAGTGTTAAAGCACATAAGTCCTTCGATGAGATAACCGTGATGACTTCAAGTCTAAGGACCATTTGTACCCATCTCATATGAGATTCCCATAGACTAAAACTAAATGGGTTCTCATGGTGATTTAAGTCCGATGATATGTTCTCTAATATAAATCACCTAAGTGTTTGCTTTGGTATCACCATGCCAATAAGTATGATATCTCCTACTAATATCATATAGCATGAGCATAGCACTCACAAGTCTATTCGTATTTTATCAATATCCATTCTTGAAATGCTACGACTTAGGACATTAATGATATCATTTATATGCATTAGTGTCTATCTCACATCTTTTGATCAATCACTATTACAAATGCATATCATAATGACTTCTATCTAATTCTACTCGAATTTATCAACATGTAAACATAAGAATTAATAAAATGATTTCTTTATTATTATTAAAATAAATGATGCAATAATACATTAACATGAGCCCATCCAAACATGTTTGGATCTTGAGCACTAACACTAACATCCGCATCCCCAACCTCGGGTTCGGCATGTCACATCACATGCTCAATTATGGTGTTCAATGCATACAATATTTATAATCATAAGATGAACAAAAAAGTAGTAAATTTTTTTGTATGGAACAACTTTTGCTCTTATCAATCCCTATCTTAAAATTTGATATCGAGGATGGAAATAGAGCTTACAAGTAGTTAATTTATCATCTTCATCTCAATAAATCATGTAGCGTTAATTATAGCGAGTGGATCTTTTCTACTAATAAACCCATCTCCTTCACCAATTTTTTAGTACTATAAAAATCCTTTATCATACGATTATCAACATACATCAACTCCTTCATTAGCTCACATATCTCATCGTAACATCTTTAAAAAAAGATGTTTCGACATAAGATTTAGTAATCAAACAAATGTAAGTGATTTTCATAACTAGGTCAAATCTTTATATTTGGTGCATTCAACATGTCATAAAAAGCCCTTGTCTATGCTAGATGGATTAAATGATGGATAGGCTATATCCATCATCATTGTTTGATATGGATTGAAAGGTTCATTGTAGCTCTCTTCGCCTTTATGATATTTTTTTGACACAATAACTTTTCAACTCAATTTTCTCATGATGTATCCAATCATAATATCTAGATACAAAGTTATATCTCACTAGATGGTATTTAACTATGTCAACCTCTTCAAAATTTAAGCTCGACACTTACGATAATTATAAAGACACGTTAACTTTCTTACGTCCATACATTCGGGATGACTAACAACAAATGCAATAAATTCTTCAACCCCATTTACAAAATCATTATTTCAATGTCCATCGATAAACCTAACATCCATGCATGCATGATTGAATCTTATCTTTTTGTTTTTGAATTTCTAAGGCAACACATAATTATTTAATAACTAATTTTCCCAAGCATTTAACAAAATTTCGACAAACTCTCCCTTATAAATTAAATATTTTTCAATTATCAAATACTCCAAATGATCATAAAAACTACACATCTAAAATGCACAACACATACAAACATTTTCAATTAATCATAATCACACAAATATCAACGAACAATCCATTTGCACACATCGAGACCAACACTTGCCTTGGACAATTCATTGAAATTAAGTCTCAAACTCATCCTTCTAACTTCATTGCAAAGTTTTGAACCAATCTTAGTTTTCTTCAATTCTCGAGGGTCTTCGACCTCTCGAATTCGATACGCTATAACGTATCTCAACATACTTCAATAACCATTAATAAAATAATTAAATTAACCAAAATTCACACCTAATTAAATTTAAAATAATAATCAATTAAGAAATTTAATATAAATAAAATTAAAAATGAACAAATTAATCAAAATTAGCCTAATTAATTTAACCCTAATTCAAATTAACCTAATTAAATATCCCTAACTCAAACCTAATTAAATTTTAAATAACGAGTTAATTAAAAAATTAGAATATAAATAAAATTAAAAATCAACAAATTAATCAAAACTATCCTAATTAATTGAGCCGTAATTCAAATTAGCCTAATTAAATTAATGCTAATTTAAACCTAATTAATTTTTAAATAATAATTAAGTACCATATTAGAATATAAATACGTGTAACAAAGTAACAAATTAATCAAAATTAACATAATTAATTTAACCCTAATTCAAACCTAATTAAATTTTAAATCGCAAATAATTAACAATTTGCAATATAAATAAAATTAAAAATCAACCTTTTAATAAAAATTAACCTAATTAGTTTAACCATAACTCAAATTAACCTAATTAAATTAACACTTATTCAAACCTAATTAAAATTTAAATAACAATTAATTAACAAATTAACCCTAACAATTAACAAAAATAATAAATTAACAATTAAATATAAATAAAACAAAAAATTAACCAATTAATCAAAATTAACCTCAACATTAACAAAAATAACAAATTGATAAGAAAAAAGAGAAAGAAAGAGAGAACTTACCTTTGGAGACAACGAAGGAGACAAAAAAGGAGGAGGAAATTCATTGTTTTTTAGGGAAAAAGAGTTTGGAGTGGGTGAGGATTATTGAAGAGTGGAGTAGTGGGGTTCCGTGGTAGTTTTGGGTGGGGATTACAAATGGTGACGAGAGAGGAGAGAGAGAGAGAGAGAGAGAGAGAGGAATAAGAAAATAGGAGAAGAAGAAAGAGAATCGTTATTTAGGGATTTAAGATTAGCGAGGGACATAAATGTATGTCGTTGATTTTGAATTTCAAAAGCCTAATCGTTTTTCAATATTAGCGATGAAATTTGCATCACTAATTTACGAGAAAAATATGCAATTAACAATGAAAATTCCATCACTAATTTTAAATCCAAAAATAGCAATGGAATTTGTAATTCCATCACCGATTTCTCTCGTAATTCCCTTACTAAACCGTATCTAAAATACTCACGAATATTTTGTTGCCATATTCGGTGATGGATTAAGTTCATCCCTAAAAATCCATCTCTAATCCGTCGGTATTCCATTCCTAAAATCTACATCTTAATAACGATCGTAATTCGTTCGTTAATCCATCACTATTTAGCAACAAACTTAAATTCGTCGCTATTTAACAGCTTTTTTTTTTTTTTTGTAATGAAATAAAAAAATATATAAATGATAAAAAGTAAAAAAAAAAAAAAAAAAAAGAGCCAAAATTAAGTTTGATAATTATTGCTAAATGCAAATAAAATAAATAGATTGCATGTTAAATCGATGAATCACAATTTAATAGAATTCATAGCCTTTTGATTTATTTTTTTCCAATTTTCCATATGGATTGTGAAAGGTGTTAAAAATTGAGAAAAAATTTCTTAACTTATAATATATTTTAGAAAATTTATTTACATAAGATAATTTTCGTAGGAAAAAAATAATTGTTAATTAATTATATTAATAATAAAGTTTTGTTTCACTTGAAATTAATAATATATTTATTTATGCTTCTAACATTTAATTTTATTGAATCCAAATTTAAAAAAAATAGAAAAAATTCAATTTATTAAAATAAAAACTTTATGTAGTTGTCAAATAATTAAATTGTTGTGAAATAGTTGATCATCATTCAAAAATCTGAAAATACAATAAGATAAACAAAAATATTAACTTCAAATATACACATATGTTGCTTAAATAACCAAATGTGAGGCTTTTAGTCCTTTAATTTAGTATTTAACCAAAAATATTATAATTGGCAGAAAAAATATTATTTTATAAAATAATATGCATATGCTGTATCAAAACTCTCTAACCTTATTTGAAAAGTATAATGATAGTATGTATTATTTTAATTATTTGATTCTAAAAAAAAATCAAACTTAGTATTGAAAAAAAAAACTTATGCAGATTACGAGTCTTTGTTATAGGTTACGATCTTATTTATTTATTTATTTTACGTCGGGGCTTGCAGCCACCATAAGTTAACTCTTCTAGCCGATCAGAACTCATGGATACCAATGGCAAGAATTTTTGTTACCGAAAAATATATTCTCTCTCTTCCATTCTCTCATCTCTTAACTATCAAGGATTAAATCGCAAATCAAATTGAACATCATCACTTATTACTATATTGCTACGGATAATGTGAACCAAAATATAAATACAAAATATAACAGCAAATAAAAAACCGAATAAACTAATTCAAAACTTTTATAATATCAACAAATAAACCCCTCCAAAATCAACAAAAAATTCTAAAATGCCATTGAATAAAATAATAAACGAATAGTCATTTGTTTTTAAGTGAATGGTAAAATGAATAGTAATTTGTATTTAATTGAATAGTAAATGAATAGTAAAATAATGGTTTCTTTTTATTATAATTATTATTTTTTAACTGTTAATTGTTAACTAGTAAAATTACTAGTAATAGTAATAATAATAAATGCCTATTCTCCATTTTATTTCAAAAGTACTATAAATTTCTCATCTGTACTTCCAGGTGTGTGAAAAGTTGATCTTAAAGGCCCAAAATATAACTAGCTCTTGTCAAAATCCTTGGGCACAAAAGGTAATGGGCCCTAGCCTAGCCCATGGAAAACCACCACTGCCTGCAAAAAAAAAACAAAAAAAAAAAAACACACGCGAAAGAGAGAACAATCAAATTTCAAATGCAAATAAAACACTCACCTCACCAGTCACCAACATTTCCATTTCTTTACACATCTCTGGCCGGCAATCCATTTTGTCTCGTACTCTTCGCAGAATCTATTTGCTTCCCTACTATGCCAGTCTTCTCTATATTAAATACCGTAGGATTTATCACTTTCTTCTGTTTCTTCTCATCCATTACTCCCTATGGACTGTCCGCCACTTAGCGCCATTTCTCTCGTCCTCCTCACCTTCTTCTTCATCTCCTCCTCTTTCGCTCAATCTTCCACTGTCGGCGTCGGTTACATTTCGAAGCTTCTCGAAATCCAGGACCGCGAACGAGTTCCTCCTTCAGTCCAAGTCGCCGCCGCTCGCAGTGTTCTCCAACGCCTGCTTCCTTCTCACTCCTCCAGCTTCGAGTTTCGAATCGTCTCTAAGGTACTTCAATTTTGTTTTTTTTTTATCCAATTGATTTGATTGATTGATGGATTTCACTCTATTAACACTAAGAGATTGTTGTTGTTATTATGTTGCAGTTAATTTTGAAGAAGTTCAATTTTGTTTTTGAAAGATTGTTAAGCATGATATATAAGTTATTTAATTTTATTATTATTAGGATCAATGTGGAGGGGAATCTTGCTTCATTATAAAAAATCATCCCTCGTTTGCAGGGCGCGGAGCTCCACAGATTCTGTATGTTAAGATTCTTGACCTCTTTTATTATTATTAATACTTTGCTTTTCTTTGTGAAAAGATAATGTTTGTTTTAGCTGTAGTCATTTTCGTTGAATATTTTTAAGTAGATGCGAAGCAAATAAAAATCATCAAGTTCCTGGAATTATCGAAAAATTGTAACTTCCTTTGTGATAATGTGGAATTTTTTTTGTTTCTTCTTTCTCGGGGTGGTCTATGCTAGAATTTCTGGGGTAACTGGAGTGGAAGTGTTGGCTGGTTTGCATTGGTATTTGAAGCATTGGTGTGGTTCACATATATCGTGGGACAAAACAGGCGGTGCACAACTCAACTCGATACCTAAATTAGGCTCTCTTCCGCCTGTGCAAGATGATGGTATCTTGGTTCGAAGATCTGTTCCTTGGAATTATTACCAGAATGCTGTCACATCGAGCTGTGAGTTTTCTACATTGATTGAATTTTCTGCTAAATTTTTGGAGGGATAGTTATATTATTAATTCAGGTAGATTTAGTATTTTGTTAGGTGGTCTGATAAATTATATAAATTTAATATTTGTGCCTTTGGAAGATACTTTTGCTTGGTGGGATTGGAAAAGATGGGAAAAGGAAATTGACTGGATGGCTCTTCAAGGCATCAACTTGCCACTAGCATTTACAGGACAGGAAGCTATTTGGCAAAAAGTATTCCAGGTGCCTTTCCTCGTATTGATCTCCATGTTCTTCCAATCGAGCTCTCTCTCTCTCTCTCTCTATATATATATATATTGCTTTATTATTATGGAAGCTTTCTTACTACTAAATTGTTTATACTAGTACTTCCTATGATATTGGGATAATGAATGATCTTTATTCAAAACAGCAATGAAAATAAGTAAGGAACTGGGATCTCTTGAATTATATTAGTGAGAGTTGTGTCTTGAGTTAGTATGTGACTGATATTAGTGAGAGAACTGTGTCTTACATTGTTTCATATTGTTTCTTCTTACATTAGTTATGCATTCCAACATATTTCATTATATTCTTTTGTTGGTCAATAACAAAATGATCATATTAGTTACTCAAAGAGTTGTAAATTGCATGGAAGTTATCTTAATGTTGATATGGAACTTTGATTTCTGTTCTTCTAACAGACATTTCACTACCTTCGCAGAAATTTAATATTAGTAAAGCAGAGTTGGATGATTTCTTTGGAGGCCCTGCATTTCTTGCTTGGTCACGCATGGCAAATTTGCATAGGTGAGATTATATTTCTTGCATGACTGTTTAGGAGAATTTACATGAACTTGTAAAGAAAATTTTCTGTTTACCCATTTAGTTACCCAACTATATAGTTACTGTTCAAAAACTAGAAATTCCTCTATTTTTGCAAATTACTAATAGTAGCATATTATTATTTGTAACCCCTTAATTTTGGGAAGAAACAATTGTATATCATGAATGTAGAAAGATCTTGTATGATTAGCCTATTCTGGAAATCATTCTCTTTTAGGAAGTAGATCATTAGTCTCGTAAGTATTTGGGGTTAATTTCCTAAATAGTAGCTGTCACGATAATTTAGAGATTTATATGTTTTTCCTACAGAAGTAGATTAGGAAAAGATCTCTGCCTATAAATATGTACAGTCTTACCTCAATGGATAGTTGAATAAAATATTTTTCTCTCCTAGAAACTTTCAATCAAAATAAAATGCAGAATCCACACTAGCAAACTTCTCCTTATGATTCTTATTGTATTAGGCAAGGACATTCTTATCATCAACATCCCTTCAATAATATTTAGAATCGAAGCTGGCTCTATAGTGACAAGTATCATTAAAAATATTATTTTTGTTTACAGGTGGGGTGGACCACTACCACAAAGTTGGTTTGATCAACAACTAGTTCTGCAGAAGAAAATTCTTGCCAGAATGTATGAACTTGGAATGACTCCAGGTATTAATAGTCATTTACTTGTACTCTTTTAAGGTTTTTAATTGTGGTAAAAATTTAAATTAATCTTGTTGTTGCATTATTCAATGCTGATGTTAAATTTCCAATAAGAGGAAATGTTTAGCTTTTTGTTTCTTTTGCCCTCATTCCACAAATATTAAAAATAAAAAATAAATAAAAATAATAAATAAAAAGAGTAGAACTATGTACATTTCAAAATGCCATTATAAACGAAAGTATTGAGGAAAATTTCGTTTATTTAATGAATAGTTGCTTTGAATTTTTGAACTTCTATTGATATAACGTTTGTTGTTCTTGCTAATCTGCTATCCAGTTCTTCCAGCCTTTTCTGGAAATATTCCTGCAGCATTAAGGAATATATTTCCATCAGCAAAAATAACACGCTTAGGAAATTGGTGAGTACCTCTTTGTTCCAATTTAGCAAATGCATGAACTCCAGTTTTTGAGTTCTGGTTATCAAATGCAAGAATTGTGTAGTTTCTTGAACTCAAGGTTTGGATATCTTCATAACTAAAATACAAAAGAACTGGTTAGGGTCATTGCCAAGTATCTCAATATAAATTCTCAAGCTTTCTGTTCGTTCTTTTGGTAATTTCATGTTTATTATATGCACATATATTGCAAATATCAGGAACGTTGTGCATTCTCCAGTTCTAGCTTGAAATAGGAAAATGGATAACCTTGTGTCTTAGAAAAGATTAATCAAGTGCCAAAAAGTACATGGCTTTTTACTGTGGGATGGCAGGAAGAGATTCACAAACCAGACTCTGGATCATTTGGGATGTAGGATTGCTGAGATGTGTTATTGCACTTCACACTTTTTTTTTTTTTGACGGATTTAAGAATGCATAACCTCATATTCTACACCCTCCTTCAGGTTTTCAGTTAAGAATGACGTTAGATGGTGCTGCACGTATCTTCTTGATGCAACAGATCCCTTGTTTATTGAGATTGGAAAAGCATTCGTTGAGCAACAATTGACAGGTAAGCTTATCTGAAAGCCAAAGTTATTCCAGGATATATTCCTTATGTCAAACAAAAATGCAAGAAATCTAATTTTTTTTTCCTATGTTTGTGATTATCTTTTGGGTCAGAGTATGGAAGGACAAGCCACGTACACAACTGGTACTATTTTCTTTGCTTTCCTATTCATACAACTGGTTTTCAGTTAACATTTTATATCCCGTAAACTATTCATTTTAACATTTTTCAGTCTTGCATTAAAATAACAAACCCACCTGTCCTTTTGTTTTGTTATCGGCTCTTTCATGTTGGAATTGCAGTGCAGCGAATGCAATACTAGATCAGGTTCACAAAAAAATATTCTATCTTTGGTTATCAGTTTATTAATCGTTTGAATCACTGCAGTGACACTTTTGATGAGAATACTCCACCTGTTGATGACCCAGAGTACATATCTTCATTAGGGGCAGCAATCTTTGAAGGAATGCAAAGTGGGGATAATAATGCTGTCTGGCTGATGCAGGTGAAGGAATATTGAATGTTTGGTTATCCAATCATAACAATTCATTTGTGTACCTTCATTGATATTTAATTCAATGTTGATAGTGCATTTTTTTCATTATATATTCACTATAAGTATTAGTAGAATGCAGATTCATTCAGAAGTCTCTCTATAGTTTATTTTTCAAAATTACTTCTTAATCAACATGAATTCTATTTGTTCTGGCATTCTGATTTATTTATTGTAATTCCACAGGGGTGGTTGTTTTCATATGATCCTTTCTGGAGACCTCCACAAATGAAGGTTATATTGTAATTTGATTGCTTTTCTTTTCTAGGCATTCTATGTTGTATGGTTAGAACATATCCATTTAATCTCTTGAGTTTTTATTTTTTAAATAAGGATTAATGCCAAGTTAAACCAAACTAAACAAGGATAGAATTCATTTTAATGATGATGTTTTGGGATGTACATCAAACCTCAAGCAATCTTTTTCATATCTGTAATTTTAAATTGTCAAGTAACAGGAGGGAAGTTCGGGAAAAAAACAAAATAGGGCACAATTTAATAAAAAAAGGAAAAAAAATGAAAAATGAAAATGGCAAGATGTTAGTTGGGAGATAATCAGGGTTTCTCATTTATAGGTTTTGACTATATCTGAGTCCATTTTATATTGTGCATGATATCACAGCCTTAGATCATTGTGGCTATGTTGGGTTATCTCTTAGAGAAACTCAAGTGTTCTTAATGTATTGTGAAATGTTCTCATTTCATACATTTTTCTTAAAAACAAATTAAAGCTTAGATATTCTTTTACTTTGTTTTCTAATTATCAGAGCCAGCTTAGGATATTGATTTTGGGAAGCTCCATTATGGAAAATGTTGAAGGGAGATAGATGGTGACCGGTTAGGTTGCTATGCAACTATTATGATTTTTTAACATGTACTAATTAGAAACCATACATCACCGAGAGCATATTATGCCATCTTCACCAATTTGTACTAGTTGTCGGGACATTCAATGCATCCATGTGTAGATACACCAGTCAAAGCCTTTTGGATGCTTTCACACTCAATTCAGTCTTTCTTTCTTCACTTGAAACCTTAGTTTTTGGTCCTTGTTCTACCGTACATATTTCCTATTTTATGGAATCTTACAAATATGATTTGGAAAGTTCAGTTGCTTTTTTAATTTGGTTGATTAGTGCTTGTAGTTGATGGTATCCTTTGTCCTTTCTAGGCACTTCTACATTCTGTACCTATGGGGAAACTGGTAGTCCTTGATCTGTTTGCCGAAGTGAATCCCATATGGATTAGTTCAGAGCAATTTTATGGTGTCCCTTACATCTGGTAAGTAATATCCTTTTCTAGTTGTTGATGATATCTGAAATTCTTGGCTGAAGAGATTTTCTTATTCTTACAAGAAGTTGAAAATATTCTGACTTGATCCAACTATGGTCAACAATGCTTGCTATTGCAAATTTTTTTTTTTTTTTTTTTGTCCAATGGTAAAGGGTATCTTCGGGCCAGCTTGCATGTCAACCGAGACTTATTCCCCTCTCTGAGTGATCTTAAAAGTGCACCCCCCACATTGGTTTGGTGCATTTAGAGGAATTAAATTCCTCTAGGTGCTGGCCCTACCGTTTGAACCTAGAAAGTGAAGGACGGTAGCATACCCATAGTTTGAAATAGAGCTGTTATATATCGGTATTGGGCACATCCGTTATTGTTATTCTCCATTATAGGGACCTTTAGCTGTTTCTCACAAAAAACAACAATGGCATTATATAACTGTAACGGTTGCTATTTAACAGATATGAGCTGTTATATTTGGAAAAAAAAAAAAAAAGAATTCAAAAATTTTTTATTTTTATTATTGTTTGTGTGATATTAAATTATTAGAAGTGTTATTAATACAGTAATAAATTATATGATATTAAACTGTTAAAAATGTTATTATTATGTTTAATTAGTGAAACTGTTAAAAATATGTGAATTAGAATAAATTTATTAACAGTTTTTAATGCATTCACAACATTAGTTGCCACGACTATTATTTTACTACCGCAATAAGCAGCGACCCACAATTGCGATCGTAATTGTTTTTCAACTGCATCTGCTATTTAAAACTATGAGCATACCTTCTTAACTAAAAGGCTAACTCCTTGGGGTTGCTGTTGCAAAATCTGCTGTACAACTATCAGTCATCACTATTCTCATTTGGGCTTGAGTTTGGCCCATAAGCTTAGACTGAGACCTTATTTTGGTCAATGTTATAAATAGAACATTGTGAAAGAGCACTTAAGGCATGCTATATGAAAACACAGTACAACTTATAAATATTGCCTGTAACATTTAATGCTGTTGAGTCAGTTATTGCTGCTACATGTAGGATTGCAGGTAATTAGGACTATGATTTTCCCTCATTGCATGCATATATAGCAATGTCTAGGGTCTTACACTTTGGTTGTGTGCCTGTGAACTCATATCCTCATTGAAGTGAAACTCTGTTAATCTCTAAACGTTAACCTGCTTATAAGTCGGCTCATTAATGTTCTGTTGTGTTAACCTTTGAAAAAATCCACCAAATCTATGTTCAGTAATTACTTAAGTGTTGACATATATATCTTAAGCAATAATTTTCTTGTATGTTTTTTTTTTGCCCCCTCTCTTCTATATTTTATGTCCCTTTCTGATATGTTGGTTTTCTCAGGTGTATGCTGCACAACTTTGCAGGAAACCTAGAGATGTATGGGTATTTAGATTCAGTAGCTTCTGGACCAGTTGAAGCTCGTACCAGTGAAAACTCCACAATGGTAAGTTTATCCCTTAAAAGCTTGTGTGATCTCAACTCAAAAAAAAAAAAAAAAAAAAAAAAACTTGCTGATCCAAATCTTACTGATTGCTAATAAGGATTGAAATGTGCTTGTGTGGCTTTGATCTTTCCATTTGAAACATACGGACAAATTAGGTTGTGTTCTCATAATGTTTCACCCTTGTAACCAAAAGCATACTAATTTAAAAATCTTTGCAACTTCCATTTGTAGTACAATTGCAGGCTACTATTAATAACCAATGTCATTACCTGATGAAATTGGTTAGGGCCCATCCATTATCCACAATCCTTCTACCCAGCCATTCATAGCATATGAAAATTCAACCTCTTTCAAGCTCTCCATTTGACTCTCTCTCTTTCTGCAAGTAATTGTGCAAATAGCATTTCTTGCTCCTTCATATGGTTGATAGTTGACACTACTCTTCATATTCATGATATGTTCCTCTGTGATTAAACTTTATTGTCCTTCTCTCGCACTCTAAGTTCTCTCTATAAGCTCCCCCTCATACAACATACCTCCTTCAATCTAATAAGGTTAGATTTTACAATTATGAAACCAAAGAAAGTGGAATTGAGCAGAACTGAAACTTGTTTTAAGAAATCATTGCGGTGAAGGTATGCCCAATTTCACTTTGTAGCTATGGAGTGGGCATGAGTCAGGAGGGGCCATCCAAATAAATAGCTTGTGCTGCTGTTTGTTCATTACAGTTGATTGATTATTGAAAAATAATAAAGGAAGTGTCGATGTTTAATTTTCATTGTCAATATATATTGTTAAAGGAAGTGCTCAAGACAATGAAGAATGCAAAAGAAAACAAGGAAAAGATCTAGAGGAGAGAAGAGCTTGACACATTTTTTTAATTAGATGGGCTGGTGGGTAAATGGAGAGAAATTTCTTACTGTTTATGTGTTTGGTAAGCTTGTTAGATTTGTTGCTTAATCAGAACGCCTGAGTCTTGTACTGAATTGCAACTGATGACAGCATCACATGAAAATGCAGAAAAGTTTTCAACTATAAGGGTGAGAAAAGCAGGATTCTATTTGTTTACATAGTGGAAGCCAGATATACCGTACTATAATACCCTTTATTATTATTGTCATTATTATTGATGCACATAACGAGGCAAGCCTGTTATTGATGGTTCATAAAAATTAGAATTCATGCAACTAGAACTGATCAATTAGATTATGGTGTAGCAGAATGGATTGAATCGGTGGATTGTTTGAACAATCTGATGGTGTTTAAGACAAAAGTTGTGTATGCAGAATATGCTGAGTGATACAACTGATTTACCCTGTAAAATTTCTTCATTATTTCCATGCTTGTAAATTTTATTATTCATTTCTAGTGAACAACAATTTCTATCATTTGAAAACAAAGTGATTAGGCATATGCATTAACCAATCTAGTTAGTACATGTATGTGTATATGTATGGCCTTGTATTGGTTTTGTCGATGCTTGTTGGCCAAAGCTGTCAGATAAAAACAAGTATAATAACTATTGCTAAAATTAATCCCTCTCTCATTCTCTAAAAAAAATAAAAAAATAAAAAAATAAAAAAATAAAAAAATAAATAAAATAAATAAAATCTATCATCTCATTTTACAATTTTAGCTATATCATTTTATTTAATCATGTATCTTATTCTATCTAGTTGCTTCTGTGAAGGTCGGTGTTGGAATGTCGATGGAAGGTATAGAACAAAACCCAGTTGTTTATGACCTCATGTCTGAAATGGCATTTCAACAGAACAATGTTGATGTCAAGGTAATGTCAAGCTTCTCCCCTGTTTCCCACCACTTCATATTCGTACATTTGTCTCCGACTTGCAATATCAAAAAGTTCAAATGTGAGATACCTAACAAACTTTCTTGAGAAAGTGTTTCCCAAACTCATTCTTTAAGCTATGAATGGTGTCATCCTTGCTTTTTTTTTTGGTTTTTTTGGTTAAGTTTGGTGACTGGTTTCTTTGTTGTCCAAATGGATCACTAACTCTCAGTACTATACTATAGTTATTATAGTGTCAAACAGTGGTCTTTTCATGTTTCCTCTTCTCTTATTGAAATTGAATTAGTTCACCTCCGATATGTCATTGTACAAACGCCTTCCTTTAAATGCTCTAAAAAATTGTGATACATTTCACAATCCTGCTGAAAGCTTTGTTACCGGTTTTTAATGTCGAGTTTATCATGGAACTGGCATTTTTCTGAAATAAGAAAGTTCCCCATCCTTTTGTTTCCGTAAGTGTTGGGATATGGAACAATAAATATGAATGGATCAGATAGGAGGAAAGTTAGCACTTCCAATCAAAATCACAACTATCTATTCTTTCTTGTAGGAATGGATTGATTTGTATTCAGCAAGACGTTATGGTCGATCAGTTTCGTTAATACGGGATGCCTGGAATATCCTATACCACACAGTTTACAATTGCACTGATGGTGCCTATGTAAGTACCCCAACTTGTCTAAGGAGTACATTTGGGTTTATTGTTCATCATCATATAGTAATGGCTCTATTTCTCTTTTGCTTTCACAAATGTGCATAATATGGACCTTACAAGGAATCCTTTTATGAAAATTCATATGTACTCCAGAGCATATGCTTTTGTCATTTCCCTTGTTTTTGTTAAGGATCTTTATACATTTTTATAATTTCCCTCAGTTGAAAAAGGTATATTGTATCCACAAATGTCATGTTATTGGTGATTCTGATTTGAAATTGCAAATGAAATCTTTTTAACCTTGAGCTTGTGACTTTGTACTCAGTCAAATTAAAAGTGCCAAATTGATATTTTGCATGTGAAAAACACCTAACGCTCTCTGTTTTTTGAATTCTCATAACCTTAAGCATTGTTGGACCAGGACAAAAACCGTGATGTAATTGTAGCATTCCCTGATGTTGATCCATATTCTCTTCTGATACTGCAAGCAAGGCATCACACTGATGGAAAACCAGTATCAAGAAAAGCCATCCTAATAGAAAACTCTGATTCATATGATCATCCTCATCTATGGTATTCAACCACTGAAGTTGTGCATGCTTTGGAACTTTTCATTGCAGGAGGGGATGAATTATCGGGAAGTAGCACTTACAGGTTAGCATTTTGAGAAATACATTTTGCTGGATAGTTTAGTCATTTGTGTATTTCTTAATTTTTTATCAAGTTTCCACTGTTTTCCTATCCCTTTCTAATACTGAATCCTTTTCTCATTGTATATTTACTTCCATAGCAGTTATGACTTAGTTGACCTGACAAGACAAGTGTTGGCAAAATATGCAAATGAGCTGTTCTTAAAGGTAATAGAAGCCTACCAATTAAATGACCACCATGGACTTGCTTACCAGAGTCAGATGTTTCTAGACCTCGTGGAAGACATGGACACACTCTTGGCCTGCCATGAAGGATTTCTTCTAGGGCCGTGGTTAGAAAGTGCAAAGCAACTTGCCCAAGATGAAGAACAACAAATACAAGTTAGGAGCCTTTCAAATTATAACCTATTTGATCTCAACAATGCAAAGAGTCCTTTTGCGTTTTGCTGTAATTTGGTGTGTTCTGAAAATGCAGTTTGAATGGAATGCAAGAACTCAGATAACTATGTGGTATGACAACACAGAGGTGGAAGCAAGTCTTCTTCGTGACTATGGTAAGGGGAACAACAATAACTTGGTGTTTCTTTTTATCTAATTTGCCGGAAAATCATAGCCTCTAAAATCAAATTTGGAGGCTTTTTCATGCCATCCTCTCCAGATGGACATCTCATTGAAGTTGTTATCACTGGATGATTGAAAACTTGTAGGCTTTTTACACTAGTATTTGAACTGAGTTTTATGAAAACTTGTGTTCCCCTTCTTGTAGGGAATAAGTACTGGAGTGGTCTTCTAAAAGATTACTATGGTCCCCGGGCAGCTATATATTTCAAATTGTTAACCCAGAGTTTGGAAAATGGCCAAGGTTTCCAGTTGAAGGCTTGGAGAAGAGAGTGGATAAAGCTTACAAACAACTGGCAGAAAAGTAGGAAGATATACACAGTGGAGAGTAACGGAAATGCACTGAACATATCCCGGTGGCTCTATCACAAATACCTTGGCAATCTGGATACATATAGATGATTATTAAGTGAAGCTGCCATAGCAGTGTTTCGAACTAAATTAACTTTTTGGATAACATCATCTGAGAAGCTTGTGATTTGCATCAAACTAAGTTCTACTTTGCATCCTCATATTGGGCACCAAACTAAGTTGTACTCTTCTAGTCTTAGCTACAGAAATGCTGACTCCTTCACCAATTATATATATATAGGTCACATAACATGTGGTAGGTGATCCAACTTTATTATATTATAGATAGATTGGGTGTAGTTTGTTAGAAACTATTTTTCCTGTAGAAAAGTAATCCCAAGTGATTTGAGCAGAAGTCTATGAGTGAGTTACCTAATGCCAGAAAGCTAACATGATAGTGTAGTTAAGCCAGATGGGTAATGTCTAAACATGATGAAAACTGCAACCAAGATCCTGAAGCTACTAGTTTCTAACTAGCTTGTAGTCCAAAGTGGCCTTATGAGGCTGAAGGAAGCTGACCGGTCTCTAGCTGCCCTGAAGAAAAAGGTGATAAATGACCGTGCGTTATAGGCTGAGGGATACTGGCCCATGGGTCATCATGGGATGAGATGATCGAGAATGAGCCAACTGAATGACTAACCAGTGGGAAATAGTCATTTAGTTGAAGCTCTATGGATGAGACACTGGATGCCTTGCAGGCTTCGCCGTGTGCACTCTTCTAAAGCTTCAGAATTCAAGGCAAAGACAAATTGTTTAATGCCTTGGTTAAAATAATTGTGTTGGACTGCATACTCAAAACTTGAACCGGATATCATACATCTGCATTTTAAATTTAATTAAGCATTTGAATTTGCAGTTTCAACTTTCAACACAAATCTGGTCCCGATGGTTTCAGCTTTTGGAGCGTTGGAGCCAACCGCTACAAAAGCTGAAGCTGCCTGTTTGATTATAGAAACGTTTTGGACCTTCTTTTTTTTTTCATTATACTATATCACTTTCTTCTATTGAAGTTTGTGAGTAATGTTATTAAATGCCATCGTTAGGTGTACCTAATCGTGACCCGTGTCTTATACAATTTTTTTTTATTATTATTATTATAGCAGAAATAAATATAAAATTTGAAGAAGTTAAAACAAAATTTACATGTGAGTTAAAAAAAAAAACAAAACCCAATCAATGAGTGAGTACGAAATCTGTCGCAAAACTGTCACTAAAAGGTTTGTTGCTATTTTTTTTAATGATGAACTTTCTATTCTGCCGCTGATTTGTGATGCCTTTTAATTGTTATTTTGAAGTATTTTCATTGCTAATTCGATATAAACAATCATTTAGTAATTATGATATCTATCACAAAACCATCGACAAGTTATTTGATTTTCATCGTTATATAGAGATGAAAATCCATTATAGAATTTAGTCGTTAATAGTGGTTGCAAATTCGTAATCGATTTCCATCACTAATTCCAACAGATTTCTTTCCGTCACTAAGTAATTAATTTATTATTTATTTTTGTCGTTAGTCGGTCATTGATCCATTGCTAAATAATTTTTTTATTTCATTAATAGCCATTTAATGTTAATTGTAATAGCAAACGACTAAAAAAAATTATAACATGAAATATTATTAAGTAAACTAAAAATAATATAAAATCAAATTGTATATGTATATATATAGACATGCACGCACATACACACACACATACACACATGCGTTTCAATGTACGAATACTTTTTTTTTTTAAAAAAAAACTAATCCTTATCATCACCATTTGCTACATCATCTTGTGGATGCTCGGATATTGGGAGGAAAGGCTAACTCTTGGATAGGGGATTTAGGAGGAGGGACATAAGTATGCATGTCCCGTAATAGCCGTTGCATCATTTACATCTCTTGTCGAAGATCTTCTTATTCTATTTTGTGCTTCTTCTTCATCTCTTGGATTCGCCAAGCATAATCACGTTTTATATCTCGCTAGCTTCTATTGGTACTACTCAATATCCTACCGCATACCATTAGAGAACTACGATACGGTAGAGGGTGAGCTAGCGTTAAAACTGAAGTAATACTTGGTGCTTGTGATCCAAGATTATATAATCTATACTTCTTCTTTCCTCCTACAATCTTAAGATATATCCGAGTCATGTTGACGTCTCGAGACAATGAATCACCCTTCGGCTACTAGCTAGCAATTGACTCATACAATAAGTCCACGCACTCCTATGCAATTGAAAAAATTATAATATTAAATCATAAATTTAATTTTTAGATTAAATTGGCATATGTATAATTAAAAAAAGAAAAAACTTACCTTAACTATATGGGACCACTTATCGATGAATGACCCATCCCGGTAGGGGTGTTCGTTCGGTAATTCGGTTCAATTTCGAACTTTTTGATTGGTTTTCGGTTAATCAAATTGTCTAAAAAAATAACCGAAATCGAACCGAATTATTATTCGATTTTTCGGTTCGGTTTTGAAATATATCGGGTTTTTTTATTCGATACTTCGGTTTTCACCTATAATTATCTATACTTTTGATTTTTGAAAGGATCATACACTTTTGAAAAAATAAATTTAGTATTTGCATTGCGATTTTTAGGCTATATTCCTATATGTATACGTTTTTCAATCTCACTAAACTCGTCTATTTACTATTATTTTACTACTCCTCAATAGGCATTACTAATATAATATCAATTGATATATATATATATAATACGAGATGTCATCATTACCATATAAAGTCTAATAATATATAATATATGTTATTGTCTATCAATATCGTAGATAATACAACCAAATATGTGTTACAATTAAAACATTTTAACAATTCCTTCTAAAAAGAAACAGAGCATGCTTTGAAGCTCAAATATAATCGACTTGTTTGTCTTTATGAAAGACACTTTTAATTAACTTGACGTAATTAGAACTAATAATTTTGGGTAACTTGTTAAATACTACCGCCATAAGTTAACATTTGCTAATTAAATGACAATGTTGTTTTTGAACAATGAAAAGCATTAAAACTTTAAACACTTAACTTTCTTTAGCGCAATTTTAAATTATATATGTTTACTAAAAAGAGACATACTAATTATTATCGGCGTCCATAAATTAACTAGTTTTCTTTCACATAGAAAAAAAACACTATCTCACATCTTTTTTTTTAAACTATAAATTGAATCAAGAAAGAAATTATGTACCTCCTTGGGTAATTATAAACAAAAATTGGTTATGGTCATTTGACGTTGGGCCAGTTGACTCATGTAATCAATGCAACAAGAATTGGTTATGGGCTAATTGATTTAACTCCATTTAGCTTAGGTTTGCATGAGGGTGAGGTGAGGGTGTGAGGATTGGAATGAACGACGTCGTTCATTGATGAATTTAAAAAAAAAATTTAATAATTTCGGTTATTCAGTTTTAATCGAATTTAAAAAAAAAACCACAACCGAAATCGAAAATCGGCTATATTTCGGTTCGATTTTTTTTTTTAGTTTCTAAAAAAAACCGCACCGAAATTGATATTTCGATGTGGTTCGATTTGGTTATTCGGTTTTCACCGAATAGTGAACACCCCTACATCCCGGCGCTTGTAAATACTTACGAACAACTTGTAAGGATTTGGGTCATAATCTAACTCCTTAGCGTGAAAAAAATAAGCATAAATAATATGAGATACAATAAATGTAAATATTAATTTACAATATAATGGATAGTAGAATTTATCATCCATTCGAGTGTGCTAAATTTGTAAGATGGAACCCTCCGTATGTCTAGATGGGTTGGTACTAGGACAACTCCGTCTCACTTATATAGTTCTAGGCTACCTATTCGGAATGGGCTTAAAACCCAAGTGTGGTCCAATCCTACCGTCATCCATCACATACCTACTCTAGGATAAACAAAGGTATGTTGGTCTTTTTCTTACAAGTAATCAACATGATGAGATATCGCTTATATGTTAGACTCTCCTAGGCCATCTTAAGCAAGACGTCGATGACTTCCTCCCATAAAAAATACTTCTCTAAGGAAGGAAAAATTAATATTGGAACATCTCATTTAGATTTACTAAAATAATTTAAATGTAAGATAAATAAATAATTAATATGTTATTCTAAAATCATTCTAATAACGAGTCTTTTGTCTCCTAGGAGATTAACTTCCACGTAGAGCCGACGAGATCTAATAGCTCCTTGAAAATTATAGTGATCTATTGAGAACACTTACTTGATGGATACGGATCGTCGAACACAAAAAAAAAAAAAAATTAATAAGTGAATTAATTATTCAAATAATATACTAAAATATAAAACTAATTATCATATCTAAAACAAAGATAATTCTATTTCTAACTCACGGGCATATTAATTACTTATCATTAATAACATAAATGGTTCGAGTTAGCATCGGACCTAGAAGTGCCATCCGAGCGGACGAAACCACCAAAGCAACCTTCTTAGTCGGGCGTTCAAGAACATGTTTGTCCCATGAGTGAGCAACTAAGGGTAGGGGGCACTACAAGAAATGACATGTCCTATTTTAGTCTATACCGTCTCTATTAGATTTCTAGTACTTCCAATGAATCGTCCACATGCAACTCTTTAACGGATCCATAGAAACGAGTGTCAAAGTGCATAAGTCCTCTAATGAGACAATCTTGATGACTTCAAGTATAAGGACCATTTGTACCCATCCGTATGAGATTCTCATAGACTAAAACCAAATGAGTTCTCATGGTGAGTCAAGTTTAGTGATATGTTCTCTAGCATGACTCACCTAAAATGCTTACTTTGGCACATTATTATTATTAAAATAGTTAATACAATAATACATTAACTCAAGCCCATCTAAACATGGTTGGATCTTAGACACCTATATTAACGAGTGGATTCAAGAGGGAAGTTGATTTTTGGTGGGGCGAAACAACTCAAAATAGATATATATAGTAAATACATGCATGCAAGATGTGAATTGGGTTAGATACATTACTTTGTCATTGCAAACTTCAAATCATGATAGAGTTTGTATTTAAGGATGGGCTAGATC